AAAATTAATAAAAACTATATAGACATTTATTATTATTATTATTATTATTAATAATAATGACAAAAACAACAAAATAACTAAAACTTTACCTAAAATTAAAATGCATAACAACAAAAATATTAAGCAATTCAAGATATTAAAAGAAACTATAAAAGTATCTCAATGAGACTAAAAGAACAATCATTCATTTTGAGGTACGGTCAGTTTAACTTAGCAGATTAAATATTAAATAATTGGACAGTTTCATATCAAAGGTCTAATGTGGTAACTAATTTGGTAATTTTCTCAGTTGCTGACCTCCAAACTCAGAAACACAATTTAAGTATCATACGTTTAAAAGTAAAACTTTTTAATTATGCAAGAATGCTGCATTTTTATTCAACATTCTGTTTTATATTATAATATAACATTTGTTATATAATCATATGTAATAAATATGCTTTAGAAAGCAATGAATCTGCATAGACATATTACTTGTGTGTCATTAAAAAAATTCTAGGTTAGCACACCAGAGTTTTTTTAAATTTTTTTAAACATTATTTAATCACTTAGAAACATCATGCTGGAGTGGGGAGTGATGACACACAAACACGTTTCATTTACAATGCTTTGTCTGCATGGGTCTGAAGCGTCTGATGCTTTCCCACACTCACGGGCCAATCACGAGGCTGTCTGTAACACTTGATAACATCAGCAGCTTGGACCTGGACAGGAGGAGGAGGGGGGATCCTGAAAGGGGATCTAACAGCCACTATTTGTGTCTACACGTGTGTGTGTGTGTGTGTGTGTGTGTGTGTGTGTGTGTGTGTGTATTTGTGTGCGTTCACTAGAGGTGTGTCGTCTCCTGATTGATTACACTGCCTCACACCCTCAGAGACCAAAGGCTTCCCACTCCTGTAAATTCAGCAGAGGCACATGGCCACCCTGACGTCTACTGTATTTGCCCTACAGTCCCATAAAATGCGTCTCACCTTCAGTGCATGTGGCGTGAAAAGTGTGTCAGCGCTTGAAATACTTCTACCCAAATCTCAGCAAATAATTCTGTTCTGAACTAGCTGAAATGAATTTTTTGTCAGATTTAAGTGAAACTGCATATATGTAAAAAATTATGTACAAGTAAACTGAATATAATTATGTATAATTTTTTGATTGAAATGGCCATTACAATTATATATATTATTTATAATTTATTTATAAATATTATTTATAAACAATATTTATTTATAAACATGTTTTTTGCAAACTAATGTTTTAATATTTTTAATTTGATTT